AGCAGTAGCAGTAGAGTAGTAGTAGTAGTAGTAGTAGTAGCAGCTGTTGCGGTTACGTTTGCGATTATGGATCAGTTGTGATTGCCGTTGTTGTTATGGCTGTGGCTGTTGCCGTTGCCGTTGCTGTTGCTGCTGCTTCCTTCGTATCATTTTGTAGGAAGACGAGGAGAAGTAGCACGTGGAGATAGTGCAACGCAGGTGGGGGTGGCACGGCTAGCAGCTAGCAGTGATGGTGGTAGTAGCAGCAGAAGGAGTAGCAGGAGCAGCAGGAAAAGCGGTGTAGTAGTAATCGTCGTCGTAGTACCAGTAGAAATGGCGGTAGTAGCAGTGGTAGCAGCAGGAGTTGTGGTATAGTAGTGGGTGTGATGGTGGCGGTGGCAGCAGTCGTGGCAGTAGTGGTGGTGGTAGTGTTGAGGGTGCTATTCGGAAACAGAAGCAACCGCGCGAATGGGCAGTGTCAACACAGTTTTGGGCATGGCAGCCTGATCGCAACCAGGACCGCACAGTCCTTTGCTCTCTCAGGTGAATGTGGAACGTGGCCCGTCTGAGAAGGTGGCGGCCAAGCCGGCCAGTAGCTTGGATTAACCATGTTGCAGTCTATGGAGATTCGGAGGGTGCTGCTACGATAGTCTAGACAACCCTGCCGAAGGCGCGCAACCACTCGTCAAGTAACCCAGAAACTTTTATCATCTTCACACCACAGCGCTGCATGTTCACTGCGCTCAGCAAATTTGAAACCCTTGATGAGTGTGAGCTCAGTCTAGACAGCGGGGGTAAGGCCAAGAGGATACATAGTTGATGCCCTGTGCAGCTACAGGACTTGCTCAAAAGCAGTTGCGCAAGTTCCGGAGGAAACAGTTTTCGGCCATCTGCATTGAGGACCAATGACGCAGCCAACGCAGTCAAGGGCGCGGTGGGCCCCCTTGACTCGGTTCGCAGCAACCGCTGCCGCTAGGCTAGTTAGCAACCCTGTTTTGTATTCGGTCGGAACATCAGTATATTATTGTGTCGTCATCGCCAGCACCATCAATCAGGAGTGGTGGTAGCAGTAGCAGCAGTAGCAGCAGCAGAACTAGTAGCGGTAGTAGTGGTAGTAGTAGTAGTAGTAGCAGCAGTAGCAGTAGCAGTAGCAGTAGTAGTAGTAGTAGTAGTAGTAGTAGTAGCAGTGGCAGTAGTGGTAGTAGTGGTAGTAGTGGTAGTAGTAGCAGCAGCAGCAGCAGGAGTTGTTGTTGTTGTTGTTGTTGTTGTTGTTGTTGTTGTTGTTGTTCGTTGACTCGTAGACTTCGTACCCAATACCATTACCTGGAACCCCGAAACCATGGTAACTTTTTGGTCGTTTCGAAATGGGCGTGTTTGCGCTTAAAAAAAACATCCGGGCATAAATGT